ATCTCCTGGCAGAGTTCCACAGGTTGATCGTGAAGAAATTGTTTTTGTTTTTTTTATGTGCTGCTTATAAATGTCATTGATTGAGCTTCTTGTGGTGTTGATGAATGAATATCTGTTTGCATACCATTCATTATTTTCTAGCTCTCTAACATATCCTCCGACCTTTTTAAATCATTTATTTTCAAAGCTAAAAAGTCCCAGGCTTGTTAATCTTCCCCTATATGGAAGCTGTTTCTTACCCCTAATTATTTGTTGCCCTTTAGGTACCTTTTCCAAATCCAATGTATCTTTTTCAGATGGGGTGACTAGATCTGCATGCAGTATTCAAGCTGTGGGCATACCATGACTTTATATAGAGGCAATATAATATTTTCTGTCTTATCTATTTTTTTCCTAATGATTCCCAATATTTTATTAGCTTTTTAGACTGTCGCTGTATATGGAGCAGATGCTTTCAGAGAACTATCCACAATGATTCCAAGATCTCTCTTGAGTGGAATAGCTATTTTAGACCCCATTATTTTTTTATATGTAGCTGGAATTAAATTTTTCCATGTTCATTAGTTTGCATTATCAACAATGAATTCCATCTACCCTTGTTACCCAATCACCCAGTTCTGTGATAACTATTTTGAGTAATTTTGTATATCTGTACCAGCCCACTTAACCTCATTAGCACCAGGACTGGATCATGAAAACTCATGATATTCTGTGTGTGTCAGAGATTTAAATGTTAGTCTTTAAGGGTACGTCTACACAGCAGTGTTATTTCCGAATAAATGACTTTATTCTGAAATAACATAGTTTGTGTTTACATTACAAACAGTTATTTCAACCTAATGTCGAGCTGGAGGACTTGTTACTGACTCCTGTAACCCTCATTTACAAGGAGGGAAGTGGGAAGAAGAGTGCTCTTTCTCAGACTTCTTGCTGTGTAGACAGTGCCAAAAGGCAAAATAAACTATTTCAACTTAAGATACGTCAATTGCATAGCTTAAGTTGTGTAGCTTATATCAGCGTTCGCCCTGCTATGTAGACGTGCCCTAAGGTGCCATAGGACTACTTGTTGTTTTTAAATTACAGATTAACAAAGCTGCCTCTCTGAGGGTACGTCTAGACTACATGCCTCTGGCGACAGAGGCATGTAGATTAGACTACCTGGCATAGGAAAATGAAGCGGCAATTTAAATAATCACCGCTTCATTTAAATTTAAATGGCGATCAGTTGTTTGTCGGCTCAGCACAGTAGTCTTGACACAGTAGTCTGGAGGTTCCGCCGTCAACATTAAAGGCATTTGTCAACCTCCTAGGTAAGCCTCCTGGGATGAGGCGTACCTGGGAGGTCGACAAATGCTTTTGATGTCGACCACGGAGTGTCCAGACTACCGTGCTGAGCTGACAAACAGCTGATCGGCTCAGCGCAGAGCCATTTAAATGAAGCGGCGATTATTTAAATCGCTGCTTCATTTTCCTATGCCGGGTAGTCTAATCTACATGCCTCTGTCACCAGAGGCATGTAGTCTAGATGTACCCCGAGACTTTGGTATCATCTGCAAATTTTGCCATCTCACTGCTTAACCCTTTTTTCAAGAACATTTATGGGACATGTAACTGCACTGGTCCAAATGCAGGGATCTTTTTCCTGTGTTATACGTGGATTAACGGACAATGTTTTCGTGGTGCCGTAAGGATCCTTCATTACTTGAATAGTGCCTTTTGTTATCTTAATCACCCTTCCTCTTTCAAAGGCAAAACTGGGAGCAGCATGAACTCCATTGCAGTAAAGAACTACCTCTGCAGTTAAGGGATAGGTTTTAAGCAGACCTCAAATATGAAATCCAGGGATTCAAACTTCAAGGGGGCTACTGAGCCCTCCAACCTCCCACAAGTGGCAGCATTGACATGAGCACGTGGTCTCTGGCAAACGCCTTCTTCAGCCCATGTCATTGCCTGTTAGATGCGTTTCAGCAGATTCCCCGCATTGTCAGAGTGGTAGTGAAGGCCCAAGAGGACAAGGGCAAGGTTATTCTAGTTGATTCTACGTTATTCTGTCAGTTAGTCTACAGGTGTGGCCCCACCAACACCCACACTATGTATGCTCTTGTGTCTGGGGGGGAGGAACCCCATTGGTGGCTCCGTTTTCTTGCCACTGTTTCACAATTTAGCATGGCTCTTAAGGATAATTTCTAAAAGAACAAATAGACTTGGTCTTGAACACTTGATAAAGTTGTAAGTATTGTAGATTTTTTTTTTTTTTTTAAAGCAGTAAGCTTTCTGGCCCACCCAAAGAAGCTAATTTGTAAAACAGTGTTTTGGGACTAACTGCTTATGGGAATGGTAGAGTCAAAACTAAGAGTGTAGAACAGTGGTCCCCAACCATTTGGGGTTGCCGGGCGCCAGGGGCCGTGGCCGTTCGCCCGCTGGGCGCCCGAAGTATTGTAGATTTTTTTTTTTTTTTTAAAGCAGTAAGCTTTCTGGCCCACCCAAAGAAGCTAATTTGTAAAACAGTGTTTTGGGACTAACTGCTTATGGGAATGGTAGAGTCAAAACTAAGAGTGTAGAACAGTGGTCCCCAACCATTTGGGGTTGCCGGGCGCCAGGGGCCGTGGCCGTTCGCCCGCTGGGCGCCCGCG